AAACATTGATAAAACTTTTCAAATATCTACCGTGTCTTGTAGCCATAACATTTAACTGCTTGAAGCCCTGTGGTGGTCCTTTCGGGTAGTCATAATTATTTGCATAAACAACATGAATTTCTAAACATTATATAATGTTTAAAAATTCTAATTCCGTTCATTCAGTTTCCTAATTTTTGGACCCCCTCGAGATGCCATCGAGCCAGCGTTAATCCGGCATTGTAAATACAGTAATTCATAACGCATGTTGTCATTCAAAGAGGATTTCTGAATCGGAGGAAAATACAATTGGCCTATGTTTTTATACATTTAATGCGTTTAGTAAAGCATGAGAAAATTTAGTCTATATATTTTAATAACTATAGGTCATATGTGTATATTAGTAATTATTAACGCAGAATAATAATTATTAAGTTTTAAGTTTTATATAGAATATAATCAAGAATGCTATTATTAGATCGTCCTCTATAAATCCCATTTCGCAATATAGAAAATATCGAGTTTCATCGTATAAATCATCAAGATTTTCTTACATTTTTTCTTTTTAAATCAGCCAAAACTTTTTAATTGCTGTTTGCACGTTGTATCGATTTCGAAATATTTATTATTAAATAGTAAATTATAAAACTGTAAAGATGTTTAAATAAAAACTTCTCTACCAGATGGCACCATATAAATACATCAGACAATTCGGTTAACATTATTTACTAAATTAATTTAATTTCTTAACCGATTTATATGTCTTAAATATAGAATTAAATATTTTCAAAATAAATGTAGCCCGAATAATTATATTTGTAAAATTTTACTTTTGTGTATAAATGTGTATGGCATATCAGGCAAGATTTCGTTTATAATCACATCACTAGATGGCGACAGTAACGAAAGCATGTTTAATGTGAATTTCTTAAAAATAAAATAGCAATTTTTCAATATAAGTTTTAAACTAAATTTTTTTTAATATATTTTGACTAATAATTTTCGTTAATTTTCAATTAATATTAATTAATTGATTAAATCGATTAAAGATGATATTACACGATGAGGATGAAGCAAAACATAAAAGTTGATTTTGGGTAAAAAATAAAATGCAAATTTCAAGGAAAAATTGGGCGTTGCATTTTTACGAAATAACAAATCAAACGAATGCCAATTTACTCACATAGATTGCTTTTTCGTATAATTTTACATCTGAATATTGGTATGTATACACACACAGACATATACATATATATGTGTGTGTGTGTTATTTCACATAATTTTCAACTAAACGAGTTCCTTACGAATTGGCAGACGACCAGAATCTGTAAAATAGAGTTAAAATTAAGATACTATGATTAAAAATATAATGGAAAATTTGCTAATATTGTATATTAATCGCCATCTATTGATTAAAATCTAAATGACATTTTTACTTTATTCAACGTTTATTACACTTAAATATATAAATTAATTCCTTTCCTTTTTCCTGTTTTCTTTAAATGATTCTTTAAAAGAAAAGAAGAAAGGAAAAAACAAAATACAGAAGGAAATATACTTGTGTCATACATGAGTAATCGTAATATGATGTGTATGTGTTGTAAGCTTCAAAATATGAAATCAAACCACTTGATTCAATACGGGATTAAAACTTATAACAATAATAAAACAATCTATTAATTTACTGCTATTCGTTTTGCTGAAACAATATTCAATTGCTATATCAGTCTTTTTCATCTCATCATTAATATTAAACAATGCATTTCGCTTGTATGAATATCCCCTAATTTAAATTAATAAAAAATTTCTCTTTTAAGAAGATAAGTTTATTATTCGAGTTTATATAATAAATATTATTTAGAAGAAATAAAGAATATAGAAATAAATTGTGTAAAACTGCCATTTTTGGCACATTCAGACAGTTTTATATATAATAACATTCTTACCCCATGAAATTCGAGTAATTTTGCTTTCATAGAGAGAATCTTTCTTCTATAATTCAAAAATTATGAGCGTGTTGGCAATGTTCCTTTTCTATTTTACATAAAACCGATAACGATATGCGTTGTTAGCAAGCAATTCTAGATTATGGTGTTGGACTATATTTTTAAGAATAAGCTATATTTGTCTACTGATAATTTATTTATATAGTCAGATTGATTATACGCTAGACTACAGATAATTATAGCAAACTAAAAAACAACCTTTCTGAAAAAGTCGACTGTTTTCGATGCATTTATTCGAATTTTTCTTAGATTTTTTTCCAAAGAGTGTTCTATATAAAAAAGAAATATCACAAAAAGATAATTTAAAATTTAAAGATATAAAAACTTCTAAAAATGCAATATTATATACTTAATATAATATATCTTTTCTGGGTTAATAAAGATAATCGAGTAATGTAATTTAATAAAATTATTAAATGAATAGAAATACGAGGGGGAAAAAATGTTAATCGAAACTAGTTCTGGCAAGAAACCAAAACTGTTTTTCGATCCATTTTAAAAAATATAATAAAAATGCATTACTTAAAGACTGCATTTGTTAACTGTTTCCAGTTTAGTTTTTATTTTTGGCGTATAATTCGGGATTCGAAGTTTAATCTTTCTTTTAAAGCAAATATAAGAAAAAATTGAGTCGATATACGAAGATGTTAAAACAATAGGGACATTTTCACCCGTTTTTGAAGGGCGTCCACTTGTCGCAACGCATTAAGAATGAATTGCATAAAGACACGCTTTGGCATTGTTTACATTAGAGTTCATTGTTTCCTCAGCGTATCCATTAATGGAAATGCTCCTTTTCTATAATTAAAAGCACTTTCTAAATTTAATCAAACCTTTATCCGTTTTAATCTAATCCGAGTTTTAAGATTGGCTTGCACTTTTGTCCAACTCTATAAATAGCTTAAATTAATTGAAAACTAATGGATCCGAGTTGGTTTTTAACGGGGGATAGTCTCAGACCCGACTTTGCACTTCGACACCTCCAGGTGCAATTATCGGTACCTAAATGTATCTTCGGTAAAGTAAACACCGAAAATAACATTTTAGAAAACAAAAATACCAAGTAGAACTCCGAATATTCTTTAATTGGATTGTCGCTGAAAAGCGGGACGACAATAGAATTAAATGAATCCATTTATACACGCCTTCGTCGAGGATTATACAAGTTTAAATTGAGTTATTTAATTTATTAAGTTTGAATAATTTAGTTTTGAAAATAAATATGTCGTTCGGGGGTTTTGCGAGTGTTTGTAGAGCGCAGAGTTGTTTTATCATCACACCTTGTGTCTTCCGCATAACACGCTTTCGACAATAGACAGTCGAGCGGCTAGGAAGAATAGCAGATGTCAAGCAGCTATGACAAAACCTAACAAACACATGGAAAGTGTCAGACCGTATCGGGGTCACAGTGGTCAACCTTCACCTGAGACTTCTCTTTTGTCAGCCAGGTTTAACGTCTTCCGTCACAACACCTTTAAAATATCCGCTGCAAAGTAAAAGAAAAAAATCTATTCTGTTATTTTTAGCTTACAAAATTTAAATTTAAATCATTAAAAGCGTTCGATAGATTTTTCTTCCCAGGAAGGTTGACGTCACGGTCGAGTTAAAAATAGAACGACGTTCGAGTCGCCTTCGCCATGTGGGATAGAAAACTTCACTTTTAAGGCAGAAATGTTGGTAGCTGCAAGTCTGTGTTAATTCAGATCTAATGGCCATTACATGTGTATAATTATCGGAAAGAAAAAGTGTTTAATATCGTTTAGTGAGTGTCCCGTTCCTGATTTACATCACTTACATCATTCTTAAAGTCTTTTATAGTAAACAGTAATTAAGAATGTCTACTGGTCGATTATTCCTTGGATATAGGCCAGGAAATTGCAAGTCTGCCCAGTCCGCAACTGACCTCATTTCTAAGAGAACTTTTAGTTAAGAAGCTTCTATTAGTCTGGTCGACTAAACAATATCCGATATCTTACTTCAATTACTTTCCAAGGAAAATCTTCATTTGTTTTATATCTCATTAGCGTAAAGGGGTGCCATTTCATTTTTATCCCTTCTGCCGCCGTGACGTCACCGAGACACTCGTCACATGGACGTGACGTAATCAGTCGTCGCCGTAGATTTATAGGAACTGTCCGAGTCATTGACCTCCGTTTGGACACAGTTAACGGTGTCAAATGCCTGTATAACGGCCCCTTCCATCTGCCTGAATTTTTGTAATGCTCGGAAGCCCGACGATTTTACCAAAGACCCTAATGCTTCCTTTGTAAAATGCTTAAAATATGGAAGACACGCCGTTAATTATCACACGCGCGTTTCGTGACTGGAGGACATCGTTTAGAGACTCCGCCACTACCGAATTTGTCTAGAAAACCGATGCACCTACCTATCTTAAGCAAAATTAGTAGGTTACGCGAATATTTAAATGTTGGGTGGAAAAAGGTTAACAGTTATTGACCCGCGAGAATATGCAAAACATTATGAAAGGAGTAGTTAAAACGCATCGATTCTCCTGTTTACGCTGACTCTTGCACTGTTGTAAAGAAAGAATACCTGGCAAAAGGTTGTCATGCTGCCGTGCAATTCACTTAATAGACTAGAAATGTTGCATCCAGGTTGCGTGTGTCGGAGCAACGTATGGATATAAATGTCTACAGCCTTGTTTGCTTTAGTAGCGTATTGGCAACAAAAACATAAAAGATGCGCCGATACACGTGATTATTATTACTATTTACAGTCGACATACGTTAACAACCGATATACATATACGGTGATTTATGTGCATGTAAAACTTTCGGTCATTCGCCGTATATTCTGTATGTTAGCATAACTCTTGTAGTTGCTATGAGACGTAACGGAGATGAGTATACAACAAGCAATGTCTTGCTAATTTGTCAGGATGTGGTTGAACTGATTCACGTCCAACCTCCTACACTTCCTTAACTTTAACTTCAATTAGGACTGTCAAGTTAAAACGACGTTAACGATTTCATTTGTGAAAATTCTCTAACAAAAAGAGTCGCGTTTTATGGCCATGTCAAGTCCGTAAGAGGGGAAAAATAATACGCCTGTTAGAACTTGTGTTTAACCATCCGAGACGGAATTAAAGTACTTTTGCTCCACCCGAAAAGAGGCGTACCTTTCTCCACCACCATTTTTCCCGGTCAGTTCGTCCTTGAGACGAGCAGAAACAAGAGTGAGATCGGTCCGGTACCACAGCCACACATACAACGGACCTTTAATAGAATGGTCAAGGTCTGCTATTTGTAAGGATGCGGTGCTCAACACCATAATGTATATTGCCATTTGGTGGCGTCCAGCTTACGCCAACTGCCGCCAGTCGTCGCACTTCAAGACAGACGACGAGTGTCCAGAGATTACGTACTCCGTGTAACCGGTGCAGCACTGTGTCGAGCTATGACGCGTCAGCAGCCTGGGGCACAGCGTCAAGCCGTCACGGCTGTTGTGTTACTATGTGCCGCACTACTGCAGGCGGCCGTCCTGCCCGTCGACACAGGTCATGGATTAACCGATACTTTGCTCATAAACACGTGTCCCCACTGTATCACTGTAGGTGACCGTCAACTGGCCAACCGCCTGAAAGTCGAAGCAATCAAACAGCAAATTTTATCCAAGTTGAGCCTTCGGGAGAAGCCAAACATCACTGCCCCCGTGTCACGGGAAGTAGCTCTAGAAGCCCTGAGGCGGATAGGCTTACAGTCCATGCTGCCTCCGGAACATTCCATCCTAAGAGACGACGCAGATGTCAACGGCGGCAACCTCGGTCGAGACGACTATTACGGGAGAACATCCGAAATAATCGCTTTTGCTGAGCCAGGTGAGTCAAAATCCTCCGTAACGCTAACTCTAGTCACGTATCGACGTAACACTCGTAACTCGACACATAGGTAAACGACTCGCGACGCTTCCTGTATCGTAATTGCAGTCTATAAGTAAGTGACATTTGCTCCTTTCGTGCTATTTTTAAACAACCAAAAACGAATCAACTGTATCTAAATTAATTATGAAAATAAAAGCAATAATAAGTTGGTAGAATGATTCGGTTATGTCTCGTTCTGTATGTAGGTCATTTAAAAAGCGACAGACGAGGAAATAAAGATAGCACCATAAACATTGCAACCTGTCCCAAATATCGAATACAATACAGCACCTCTTTTCAGGTATGTGTCTGACAATCGGATTAGGTACTCAGTCAGTCGAACCACACCCAATTATTAACATCATGTCAAAGAACTTTCTACTGATTTTTCTTTCTCTCACCGCCACATTAACCAGTTTGCGATAAAAACGGCGGCTAGACGGACTATAAAGATGTCTGCAATTAAAACACTCGCTGATGTCTGAGGAATGACAACCTGGAAAGCATACCAATGGATGCTGATACGGGATAAGGCATAATACGAAAATGCTACGGTGATTATGGTTATTTATAGACAACGACGACAAAAAATCCTCTAGAATCTCATAAATCTCTTGCTTGAAAACAGTAGAAAGAAAATTGACACATTTAAGACAACGTCGTTAGTTAAAAAAGAGGTCATGTAGCCCTGCTTTATGAATATTACAACTTATCTTCTAATAATATTGTTTTCTTTTAAAATTCAGTTAAGTCAATTTGATCTTTCCAGTCAAAATTACCCGGAAGTTAAGAGTCTGGTTTACGATCCGCCCAAGAATTTAAAATATTAAAAATAAATAATGTTTTGGATTTTTTTGTAATTTCAGGTTTGACAGCAATCAGAAATTGCCAAGTTTTATAGAAAGTTTTCCGTAAAAGATCATTTCTAGTTCGATATACTTTAAAATTATCTTTTTTGACGCACCCATTAATTAACTAATTTATTAAAGGCCGTTAGCTGGCACTTCCAGAAAGTGTCAATGTTCCTCCACTTGAAAAATAAATGGATTCTAAGAGTTAAACTGAATTAATAGTTAAAAAGAAAAGTTTATAATATGCAAAATTTTAAAATATACGTTAAATCAATGGTTTAAATAAAATGCTTTTTCGTCTGAAAATCATTCAAGGTTAATATATTATGAAAAAATTAGACTACTTGGGCGTGCTTTGTTGAGTAAATAGAATGGGCGGTTATTTGTAAAACTAAGTAAAATTCTACGACGAATTTAACTCGTCACTAGTTTTAAAAGTTGTTATCATCTCTGTTAGAAGTTTCTAATTGATGTTAACTGTCGAGAATAATGCGTATTGTGGTCGTTAAGAGAAGGGAAACGATAAAGATTTAAAGAGCAATCGGTAGGTCGTGTTCGATATTTAAGAAAAGCTGAGGGGCAAATCCTTAGAGGAGGAGAAATTTTAAGAGGCCACGTATGTGTCAATGACCACTACTCAAATGAGTAGACGACGTGTCGAGAGAATATTTGAATATTGTCTGCTACTAATTTATCGTATAAATTGTATACTAAGATGAACTTTTTTATATCGACCATCGAAAGCTTTCTCGTGTATTCGTCTACAGACGAAGTCTACATCATCTTCGGATGTTTTAGAAAATATCTTTTTGGCATAAGTCCAATTTCTACTGGCCTTTTACCACGCGAGTTGCAGCCATACACTTCGCCCAAATGGATACATTGAAATAATCACAAATATATCCTTTTTATGATGAAAAGCTTTCTTTTGAAAAATTTCCCACTTTTCTCTTAGTTTAAGAAAAAAACTGTAAATACATGAAAAAGTTTATACATCCTCCTAACAATGTGGAACGAAAATTAAATTAACTCTCCCATACAATGTCATGGCAGCACTTACGAAATCGCCGTGAAGAGTACTTCCAGTTTTTGTTAAAGATAATGGGTGTGATATTTTTTATATATTCTACAAACGTTTGATGGCAAATATGATGTGTTACAGTCGAAAACCTGAGTGAAGTGCTTAACATTTGCAGTTTTTGAAACGATTAATCTGTGGAAATAAATTTAGACTTTTATCTCTTTATAAACTGGAAACTTTTTTAATTATCGTGACAAAGAACAAAATATACTTAGAGAAATCGGGCATCCAACCCACTGACGAATTTCTTTGATAAGTTTCTAGAAAATAAAATATTTGTTATTAATCTTATATATTATGTATTGAAAATGAATGTAATGCACGTTTTTAACATTTCAGGTTCGAGTCTAAACGGCCACGTGCTGCTCGACTTCTATCACCCTCACGAGCACGTCCACCGACTGCGAGTGACAGCGGCCACCCTGTGGATTCAACTTCGATATTCGTCGTCGAGTCAAACTCGTCGTTCGCGACAGACGTTGAGAGAACCTCCGGTCACATTATATGTCTTTCGTGTGCCCGTTACTAACGTGAGTAGTGCGGCCAACCCGGATGGTTCTCTACCTTACAAGATGTTGACCTCGCACAAGGTAACACACGCGGGATGGAGGAGAATCGACATGGGAGATGCGGTTCAGCGATGGTTTTCCAGTTCAAATCACGAAAAGTTGACTTTGTTAGTCGATTGCGGTGGTTGCGAACGACGTTTGGAATTGGTGCTCTTCAACGAAACACTGCTGTCGAACAATTCGACTTTTAAACACATACCCAAGAGGTTAAGACATTCTGGGGGTCATAATCTACGACCGTTTCTCGCAATTACTACAGAAATGATACGTCAGAGACGTGCTCGACGACACGCGGTCACTTGCGACTCACAAACGACTCAGTGCTGTAAACAAACATTGTATGTCAATTTCCGAGAGTTGGGATGGGCGGACTGGATCATCGCTCCCAAAGGTTATTATGCTAACTATTGTATGGGAGACTGTGCCAGCACCAGACGTCCACCTGATACGTTCGTAAGTTTCCATACGCACATCCTGGAAGAATACCGTAATCGAAACCCTTATGCTTCCATTACACCCTGCTGTGCCCCTACGAAACTTTCTCCTATGTCACTCATCTACTTCGATCCCGATATGAATATAATCAAGACTGATCTTCCGAAAATGATCGTGGATGAGTGTGGATGTACGTAACCTATAAGAGATATTGAGGAGCCGAATTCGTCATCCGGTGACACTCGAGATCTTGCTTCGAGCAGCCACCTTTGGCATCTTGCTGGTTTTTGAAGCATTCTGGTGACGAGTGGTGAATAGGAAAAGTCGACTCGATGGTATGAGACGCCAATCGTCCCATTTTGTACCATAGACAGAGAAAGAAGGTGTTGTAATAAAAATGTTCATGGCGAGGTTGACTTTTTCTATTATTCGCGAAACGATTACTATTAAAGTTAAATTTTATGAGTAATGTTCTTCATAGAATAATTACTTTCAAAATGAGAACTAATCATATAACAGACAGACGACAGGACAAGCCAAGCGCCACTCGACTAGTTTTCCATTAATGTAATTATTACACGACTACATGTATATATATTAGTCCTCGTCTGTACTGAATAACTTTATCGTCGTGCTAGACAATAACAACTCCATTTGTTTATTATAATTGGCTAGATGGCTTATAATTGCCATAAAAAATAAGTATCGGGACAGAAGCAAATTCTGCGCACTTCGATCAATCGTTACGAACGTCGTAAGGGCAAAGTTAGTCAGAAAAACAAACATAATCGCGGACCCGGAACCACCAAGGTCTGGCTGTACTGCTAGGGTGGTCCATCGCGACCTGTTCACCGTCGTTTTTAACTAGATGACCTCGTCAGGAAAGTCTTCGCTTGACGAGAACACACCTATTTTGACTCCAAGGCCTCGAAGACTTAAAGATTATGCTAATGAAGAACACAAAAACGGCATATAGTTAACGACTGGCCACTCCTTCTCTTGTTAAAATAATGTTTTCGTGTCCGTAAGCGTCTCAAATGTCCAGTCTGTGTTCAGTCGTCTAGCCAATGTCTGGCACGTCCTGGCTGAAAGCCAGATAATCTCTCACGTGTGAAAGGTTGAGAAAAATCGGCGTTTGTAAATAGTTTTCAAATCTGCTTTTTACATACAGCTTAACAATTTCGGTAAAAGAATGAAAAGGCACACCAAAGTCACTCGGGATAGCGTTCGAATTATTTTTTATTTTTTTTTAAAGAACACGGTTAATGGTTTAAAAGGGTAATTGTTAGTGGCATTTTTAATTTAATTCGTCGAAAATATCAGAGTCGTACATAAACATTTTAACAGATGGACTAAAAAGGAAAGAGATGATCACTTTTGGCGCTAATCTTTGGTTTAATAACGATTCGTAGGTCAAAAATGTATCACTGTGGCATTCATCCAACTGTTTCAGGGACAAATTACACTGACAAAAGAATAGAAACGACGAATGAACTGACATACGTCTCATTTTTAATTCTTGGTCCGTAGTTCGCAATCCCAGAGAGAGCGCCACATGGGCGCCACATAACACGTGGAAAAGTGACCATCGTCTCCACCCTTGTCATTCGTCGACTGGGGTCCGCCTAAACTTTTACTTTTTTCATATCTAGTTCTAGACGTTTCGCTCTATTTGTATGAGTTTGGTGTGTTCAAAAGACCTTGTACTTGATGCTCCATCTTAGCTTTCTTTTAATACTTATTCTAAACCCATTACAAAACATACTACTTTCAACTGCGATTTTTCTTGCTCTCGGCTATATCATTCCGGAAATAAGAATATTTTAAAAACAAGACTATTATTATTCAGAATAAAGTCACGAATCACGCAATATTACGTAAAAATGAATGAATAGTTGAAAAAAGACTAAACAGATGAAAGCATCATAAAAAAAAAATACAAAATTTGATCTTTTTAAAATATTCGAGTACAGTACATTCATTTACAGAAAAACGAATAAAATCAACCATTAATAATATATACAGGCTTATATATGTGTGTGTATAGTGTGCTTCTTTGTGTTTGTGTTTATTTTTAAAAAATACATACATATTTTAATAAATACATAAATAAATATTTTTATTTCTCTAATTACAATAAAAATTCATTACTAATAAAATAAAAAAATACATAAAAGCATATACTATTAAGTATAATACAATCTTCAATGGATATCAAATAGATGAAGCATTTAAAAGTTGTAATACGAAAAATTTTAATGATTTTTTAATCAAAATATGGTCTACAAATCAACCAAAATCTCAAATATAATAACCATATAAATAGGAATAAATTCTAATTATGCCATCTACACTTTAAAACATTATAAATTACTTTTATAATAGAAAATTAAACCATAAATTTACAAATAAATAAAAAAGTTACCCTTTAATTCGTACCAAATTATTACACAATACGGAAAGAACAATTTTTTTTCTTCGAAATACAATATAAAATAAAAAAATTTAGGTCGAGGACTTGACTAAATGATCTTTCAAACGATATTGGTTAAGGCATTATTAAGCATTAAGATGTTTCACACGGGATTATTTTTATTTTTACTACTTTTATCCACGAAAAAATGCTTAATAAATAATCGAAAAGCATTTTGAAAGAAAATCAAAATCAGTAATTTAATAAATTTTAAAAATTCATCAACCTAATTACCAGTTACTTAGCGTAATATAATTTTTCCCTTTTCCCTTTTACGTTGTGTTATATTTAAATAAAAGGCAATGAGAACCAAAAATTCGTTTAAAATGTTTCAAGACTAAAATTTCTTGAATCTGAAGAATTCCGAGGAATCTTCCACAAATGAATTTACTTGAAAATGTTACTCGAATAACTTATTTAATGGCACATAAAAATTCCCAACGGAAATCTGTACATACCAGAAATGTATGATGTAATTGTTACGCGATAACTAGGAATTTCGAGCGAAAAAAGGACGTAAACTTTTATTTACCAGTATATTTCTTTATAATAAACTTTTGCGTTAGATTGAAAACATTATATAATGATACTTGCAGCGCATATCTTCGCCTCCATGCAAGTTAGCGTCCTCTACAGGGGTATACAACTAAACTGATGAAAACAACTAACGTTCCTTCTCGTCTATGAAAAATAAACTTCTACTAGAATCTTATTTAAAGAAAAAGAAAAATATCCAATCAATTATTTCTAAATTTATCGAGGAAGTTAGAAATTACATATTTATTCAGGACTTTACCGTACTTATTTCTTATTATATGACACCTACTAGATTAACTTCAAAAGTTGTTTGAATGTGAATAAATTAAGTCACTTGAATTATTTTATTATAAATAAGGAAAAGTAAATAAGACATGTAATTAAATACAGAAAGTTTAAAGATAATTTTTTAAAATATATTATCGGATCGATAAAACTTTTGCTTTGATTTTATTAAAAAAAAAACTTTAAAAGGTTATAATTTGTTGAAATTCTTATTATTAAATAATTAGTTGATTTTTATACTTTCATTCAGATAAGTCTAGACATGGAGTCTAGTTCTTATTCTTACATTTCTTTTCTCTCTCGTATCACTTTCTTTTGGAGTATATAACAAAACACGCCACATTTTCGGGGCGTAAAATAATCCTTCGAGGGGTCATCGTTCCGACTGAAAAGCATTAGTTTGCGTGCTGTTGGCAGAATTGTGTTTAAGTTTTTCCTTGAAAGCATAGCTTTTAAATTAAAATTTTCAACAATTACCTTATAATTTACAAATTAATTATCAGTTTAAATGAAAATAATTGTTAGTAATATATTCCTGTTTCTGTAAATAATTTAATTAACTTTGAATAAACAAGAATATTATTAACATTAACAGAAACTCTTCTCTTGTACCCTTTTCTTCTCTTAATCATTGACACTTTCGGAATTTTTTTAAAAGTTCGAAACGCTTCTTTAAATAAAATATCGATTAATATAAATTACATTAAAGTTTTCATTTAAAAATTTCAAATGGTTGTATGTTCAGATATTTATTTTAAATTAATAAGTGTTTTTATTTGTATTTATAACAAACGATAGATGGCATTACTTTATAAAGAAATTTAAATATTGCTTTGTAATCTTAGAATATGACAAAAGAAATCAATGCATAAAAATAGAATTATAATGCATTTAGACAAAATAAAACTGCTAAGAAAACAGTAAATAAATAAATTTTTTTTGATGGAAATAGAACCGATATTAAATTATATGGACGTTAATTCTATTAGATATTTTGGCGAAAATATGATATATTTATATACTTTAACTCAAAGTTTTTATTGGTTGTGTTATCAGAAAATTTAAAAAATGTCCCGTTTAACATTGAAAAAATACAAAATACTTTTTTAGAATTATGATTATGAATTTTACAGTCAAGCGCATCGTAATTAGTTACATTACATATGATAAAATTTCAAGTTTATCTGATATCTTCAGATTTATTTATAAATTTGGAAACGCATACGAGGCAGAAAAGTATAAGAAACAAATAGTAATACCGATCTCTCCGTTCTCTCTATTTAAATACTGGAAAATAGAGCATCTCTCATTCATCATCGTTCACTATGACCCACTATCGGCGCCACTAGGTCATAGTACGACAGAGTATCGATCGTTGTTGCGAGGCGCCAGACCAAATGTCGTTCCCTCCCTTCGAATAACTAGGGAAATAATCTTATTTCTCTAATAACCTTTTCCTATATATTCAAATTAAGTTAGGTCAGCAAACTGATCAGGAAATAATTTCCCACCCTTTCAAGTTTCGCGCGACTTCTTTTGCTTAACTTATTACTCTTTTCAATCATTATACAGTCTAATTTTTTACCAAAGTAAGAAGTAAAGAGGAAATAAGAATTTCGTTTTTATCAGAAAAAAAAGGAAAAAGTATATATTCAGAAAAAACTAAAGTAGTTCCGTAAAGAATTAATGAATAATAGTGTTTCCTAATATTCGACTTACCGTTTAATTATAATTAAGTTTCAAGAACTCGCCCAACAAATACGGAAATTAATCGTATCCTAGGCTTTATTCCGTTATGATAAACATTAAAAATATACCTTTATTATGTATGAGACACATTATGGAAACTACTAAAACTTTCAAAAACTAAACAAATAATAATTAAAACTATTAAAATAAAAACTTTAGTTCCAGTACAGCTATATCAAGCCAGATATAGAAATCTAGAATGGTCATTTGGTCCTGGCCTCGGATTTAGAGGATCCCAAAATTTGATCTTGTATATACGCTAATATAAAACAATACTTCTTGTAATAAGAATGTAAATAGAAAAATAGAAAAAAAATGAATATTCTATAAAATAAATAATAATATATTTCTATTAAAAATGATAAATATTTAGCATAACTTTTAAAATCAGGTTGTTTATTGAAGCTTAAAATAGCATATAAAAAGCAAAAGACTTCATAAATTATATAAATAATTCGGAAGAGCAATTGGATAAAATTTAAAATAAACTTCGTTTATAGTTGAATGTAAAGAGCTATTTTTGTTTAGGAGTTTAGGAGATTTATTGAAAACAACTTCATTAAAAGTTATGAAGAATAAAATGTAAGTTATTTATATATAACTTATGTATGTTGTACATGTAAGGCTTATTTAAACTTATTAAAAACAATATTTATGACTTTCAATTTGAAAAGCTTTCCGAAAATTATTTTATTCTTACCAAATCGTGCAAATAAAAAAAAACAGTAAATAAATAAGCTTATACTAAAAGCTAACTTTAATAGAGGAACAGATATTTTCTTTTTGATAACGTGATATATAAGTTATAAATTTTATTGAAATATTATAGAAAAATACGATTTATGTCGTCACGATTTGTAGATACGTTATGTCTACGAATTTAAAAAAAGAAAAAAAAAATTATGAATAAGCCGATTCTATGAAAATGGTCTAGCCACGTTTAAGTATGTTACTATTTTTATGAATAATTGACTGCCACGGGAAATGTATTATAACACTATGATTCTTTTTGCAATGATTGAATGATTGATAGGTTAAATAAGTCAATTAAATATAAAGAAAGTGAACAAAGAGATAGAAAAAAATCTGAAGTGAATAAACCACATTTTTTTCTATCACGCTCATTGCCACTGATATTTTTTAAATTTACCTATTTAATCTATATAAAAAAAACTGTACATAGAATTTGATAATGATTATAATTAAATACAGCCAATTTTAATTAATGATTTTCTGATTATTCCCTATAAAGAAAAAAAAAATGCTAATAAATATAACATGCAATTATTTCATTTAAAATGCTCTAAATAGGCTCTATATCCTGTGGTGCAATTACTTTACACGTAAAACAATTTTCTAAGAAAAATTTATAGAAAAAAAATCAGGGGTAATTAAAATTTTTAATTTAAAAAAAATAAATCTTCATTATTAAATTAAAATTTTCACATATGACGAGAAAAAAACATCAATATTCAATTTGCATAAGTATATTATTGCTATTAATTACATTTAACTATAAATCAATATGAATAAAAGAAGAAGAATTATCCAATTAATTCATTATTAACTTATAGAAGAGGCACATTATTTATTTTTGCTATTCCTTTTATAAAATATTAGTTTAGTCAATTTTGACCTTAATAACACGTCAATAACATTAAAATACAACGTATATTTCCTGATCGTTGAATAATCGAATATTGATATATCAATAATATATTATGAAGTAATCGAAGTTTATAGTTAAAGCAAAAGTTAAAAATAGAAATGAAAAAGTATCCCAGATATTTCGATCTGTTTTAATTAATCTGCAAGTTAGGAGAAGGAAAGGTTTTTCTGATAATTTGAATCGTCACATAAATTAATTTAGATTTAATTATTAAAATTAATGATGTTATTCGCGTTAATATGAAAGTCAAGGCTATTAGTGGGTAGATATTGGACCCTTTGAACACAGTTTTTCCAGTCAAAGGTTAGCAACTGTGTATCAAACATGAAACGAAATCAACACGATACGTTTTTATTTTTCATTTAACGTCAAAATAGTTTTCTAAGATTTCTGTTTAATTTAATTACTGATTTAACTCTTTACTCATTGCGTAACGTAAAGGAAAACTTTTTTTCTTTTTCAATTTCATGCTTAGAGTCTATCACATTTTAAATTTGGAAATTAATTACACAAAATTTTCAAGCTGCTAAAAATACAAGAAAAATTACTTGGATAATTTAAATAAATACGTTTATAATATAATATTATTTAAAAGAAAATGATAAACTATAATAGAAAGAAAGCATTAATATTTTGGATTAAAATATTAATTGCTGTTTCGTCCAACAGATGGCAATATGTTACTTTAATACTTAAGATCGATGTTATTTTAATATAGGATCATCTTTAAACTAATTTTTTATTCGTGTTAGAAATATTTAAACTCATTCAAAAATCATGTAACAATTCTTTGCATTGTTATTTCTAATTTAAATATGAGGAAAAATAACTAGGAAGCATCCGTAAATATTTAAGTATAGCATTTCAACAATGCTTATTTCTTTTTATAAAGTATTTACATATAAAACTATTAGAACTTTAAAATACATTTCCTTTATATATTAACATATAGGAATAGGATTTATAAAAGTGTTAAAGTGTTAAATAAATTTTAAAACCAATATTCTATGCATTATGCACTAGCTCACTATTTGATATATATAATGCTTATTATAATTGTATATTAATATGATAATGTTATAATTTCATTATAGCATTATATTATTAGTATACATTTATAATTATACAATTATAAATCCATTATAATTCATTCAAAATTGAATTATAACTTCATGTTTAATGTCATCTAGGTTAACATTATTTAAAGCATTACTCAATTTGTTATATTTATTTAATGTGCCACTAAAAGATATATTGAAAAGAATTATAATTATAATTACAACCAATTTTTAAAATTCTACTTGTTGAACATGCAAAACTTATCTAAAATTATATTTATGTATAAATTGATGATTAAATATTGAAAGTTGTAATAGTTTGTTCAGAATTTACATCAAAAGTATTTAATATATGTCAAATTAATAGTAAAAATATGTTTTTGTAATAAATGTATTAAAAATTATACATATGTGTGTATTTCATATACATGTAAATACTGTATATGCATATATTAATTAATATTATAATATGTATATAGAACTATATTTTATGTATATCTATTTATATATTGTATACATAAATTTCAAAATTTATTATTAATAATATTTTTTTAAAATAATGGCAAGTTATACATAAATTTTACAGTATACAAAATATATTCAGTTTTAATTTTTTTTTTTCTTTTTAAATATTAAGTGCATAGAAAACAATAGATAACTGAATTTTATAGGATTAAATATATCAGTTTCATACATTAACCGGATAATTATATAATAAATAAGTTATCAAACGTATTAATAAATTTAATAAATGCAAAATTTTAATACTGAAATTGATCTACAGATGGCAGCAACGACAGATATCCTTATTTTATATTATTGGCTAGCTCATGCGTTAAACTCTTTTGTTTAATTTCCATCACATCCGTTTCGAGAGGATAATAATTAATGATATTTTTCCTTTGGTTAATTAATAATGCATCAGATGTTTGGAGGCAGAGAATTGTGGCAAACACCTGGCAGATACAGTCAGGTAAAGAGAATAGGAACATCTGGAAAAGCGTTAGAAAGCCTTACATAAATAGTAAAATGGTAAACAAAGGAAAAAAAATCTCAAAAGACACTTTGTCAGTTGTTTTATTTCTCACTAAACATTACATGTATCTCAAGCACAATTATGAATATCCTTAGGATAAAGTTTTGATTAATGCGGGTACTGCAGATGCATTAAAAATGTATTTTTATCTTTAGAAATTTAGAAATGAAAAACCTCATAGGTTCAATTAGAAAAGAGAAAAGATTCTGGGATTTATGTATCACCAACAAATATCATGTGGTTGTGCGTTCATATATAAATATATATATATATATTTTATTTATTTATTTATTTATTATATATATATATATATATTGTTATCTCACACTCTCTCTAATCGCATTCATCAGAATTATGATATACATTACTTACATATATACGTTAAACGCATACATACACATACATACATACATACATACTCTCACATAAACATACATTTCTTGGAATAATGGCTGCTGGCAGTGTACAAGTCTAAATCAATACATTTACTCGATGTATTAACAACAATTCTATTGTTTAGAACAATCGACTTCTAAAATTACATGATTGGTGAATAAATTTCTGGTGTAGCAAAATGTTTTCTTAAAGCTACTTAAAACGTGATATACACTGCTTTACAAAAGTACAAAACTCGAGTCTTTTTAACACGACTTTAGCTAAATATAATAATCAAGATACAGTTAAAATTATCACAGTCGTCCATCATTCTCCATGACAGTTTACAAACTGAACATTTGTATAATTTTAAATGAAGCAATATGAGATCATACCTTTCCACTGCATTTTGTGATTTTAAATAAATCACAAAAAAATATTCACTAACCAAGATATCATACGAAAGTCTATCTTGTTTTCATTTGTTTGTTTAAAAAATATACAGACCGAACCGTTTCTCTGTTGGAATACAAACACGCCATATAACTAAACGTGCAATAAGTTACATTCTACAACTACAGTCCCGTGCATTCTTTGGTGGTAATCCACTTGTACAGTTCCTTTCTGGGAACCGTACAATTGCGGAAATAGTCAGCTAACACAGCTTTTAATGTAAAATCGAGACGAAATAGTCTTTTATAGGTCTACGGCATAAAGCCGAATCTCTTTCGTATAATGAGATGGTGATTTGCGTTTTCAGTTCCAGTGGCACTTCCTATATAGAAGATAAAATCTAATCAATCTTTATCAGAAATAAATTAGTCAACTTTGATCGACGATGGTAACACAGATTGTTGACAATCTTTCCGTCGATCGATCCTTAAGGTAAGAGCAATTTCATTGCTATTGGCCATTACTTTACGAACATCCACACCTATCAACTACCATTCCAGGTAGCATGCCATAAATTATGTTATACTCTTCGTCGAAATAAAGCATAGAAATAGGTGACATTTTTCGGGGGGCACAACACGGTCCCGCCGAACCTTGAGGGTTAGCTTGTTGCACCAGGTGAGTATGTGGATACTTTTGTAAAAACACGTAAGGACATTCTCCACTGCAATAGTTAGCTTCGTAACGTTTGGGAGCTATAATCCAATCCCATCCGAATTCTTCGAAGTCTACTGTCAGCGGATAACGACAGCATCGCACTTCGTTCGAATTCTCTTCACAATTCAACCCTATCATACGTTTTGTGCGGCGACGGCGCTGCTTGTCTATTTTCATTTCGATAAATGGTCTCTGCAAGGAAATACGTAAACTTATTATTCAAACCACTTTAATATATGTTCTGTTTATTCTAAATCTTAGTCAAAAAGTAACAGAACAAATTTAGGAATATTTCATTTTGCTGAAAATCATCATTAATTAAAGATAAACTTTTTCAAGATCAACCAAAACTGTTCCTAGAATAAACTAATTATCACTTAAGATAATGTTCTTACCCATGCTTCTTCACCTTCTTTCGGTTCCGTAACAGCTAATTCACGTCCTTCACTGTCGTACGAACGAATAGCAAAACCTAAATTGTCCTTCGGATGTCTCAGCCATCTAGATACAATTTTTCTCACGTCGATTGTTGCCCAGCCTCCATGTGTCAACTTTGTGTCCACTTTCTTTGCTTTAACCTACAAAAAATAAAAAAACTAATTAAATTAAGTTATTTTAATCATTTTGTAATTGAGCAATTCCTTATAAATTTTATAAAAGAGAACGATATTTTGTCAAATTTATAAAGTCAACCTTACTACTGTTTATATAATTATTGAATTTATATCTTTTAACTCATCACCTTCTGATATAAAAAGCCAATCATTATTGGAACGAAATCTTATCTTTAAAACATTTTTTAAGTTTTAGAAAACCATTCAATAACTTCACAACACAAACATAATTCAATATTACAATTTATATATAGAAAATAATAAGATAAAAATTCTTAAAACAATCATTTTTATTATAATTTTAAAAATTTGTATCCGTAAATAAATTGGCGATAAGAAAATTAGGATTTCTAATAATATTGTGGACTCATGTCTGGCAATTACGAATGCAGACACGCAATACGTGACAAAAGTTAATATCGAGTAAAGTAGTACAAGGCATGCTTCAGACGGGCGGGCACCACTTCGTGATTATGTAATTGTGGATCGTTACAGATACACACGCATTGAATGCTATCATCAATTGGATTATTTAAAGACCTGTGTTTCTGTCGAAAGTAAATTGATATTCTAGCCAGTTAATATTTTAAACGCGATTTCAGATACGACAGGGCCAAAGTTAAATGTACATAATATTTATTTATAAAAATACGTTCTTTTAAATTGTAGTTAATATTACTTTGTACTAAATCCGTTAAATGCATACTTAATTACTGAATTAATAGAAAATATTCTTTCTAAATGTCTACAATTTAATAATAATAAAATGTTTTACAAATATGTTTAGTATAAACAATTTATCAATATGGATTATCTGTGTATATCTTGGGTGCAAAGTAAGGGCAAAGACTACATCGATAAATGCGACTTGTATGAAGTAGGAAAAGCTATATATATATATATATAGGAAAATTGAATGTGTGATAATTTTGTCAAAAGCCTGGGATTAAATGATATCCGTAGGGCCAGTGAACTTACATGTAATAAAGATGGTGAAGTCTCGCCTCTCATCACCTGATAAACCACTATCCAGGCAATAGAATCGAGCGAGGACGGGGTCGGACGTATATACAACCATAAGTGGGCTCCTGTCACGTGCGAGTTGATCACGTTAGCCGAGAACTTAAAGTACTGATAGCGATAGTCGGCCGGAAAATTCCATTTAATCGAAGCTGAAAAATAAAGCAACAATTTATATTAGGTTCATAAATATTCATATTTATATTAACAGATATGAAATTTATTGGCTTCCCAACAGCTAAGTATTTATTATTAGCTTTCGCACAATAATTTTTATCGTTGAAGGTTACTGATAAACAATCTGGTTTTCGACCGCGAGATGACCCTAATTCATTTCGTTGGCTTTTCGTGTTCTTGATATAGGCTATGTCGGTTGATGCCCTTCTCCAAAATATCTGTCCAAATTAAATATATGTTTATAGAAGAATATCTAATCATTTATTTTAGCACAGTAGCCGTAAAATTGTAAATTAACACATATTATTCCCACATTTTGACACAGTCTTAGGTGCAGGAAGTTTACTACCTGATTTGTCTATCTGACGATCAAAAAGTGAAAGGTACTTGGAGACAACAATACGTGTACAAAACATAGTGACTGTGATCAAAGAAACCCTTCTACTAAAGTGACCTTTCCCACACCCTCTACACGCAGTAGGCAAGAAAGTGCTCCACTTTCAGGGGTAAACATCTATACAGAATAAGAGTAAGTCTTTCTTTCCCCAATGGCATTCGGCTTTTGTCTGCTGACCGTAGGGTGCGCAACCTATGCCGGGAGAGCGGGGTCAACCAGCCACAAGTGCGTCCTACTACCGGATGGAGTAAGGTTTTTCCGTACACCAAGGTTTATAGTATGTACACCACCCATCAGTTAACTACTGACAGACGTTTTGTTCAGCTATGAGAAAAGTGTGGCGGGAACAGCATTCGTTCTTTACCCTTTCATACCATTTCCTCCGCTCAAAGAATCACTTTTCCTCTCTATCGTTTCATTGAGTTATATCAGCTTATACTAGAAAGGACTCATAAAAAACGCCAATGACGTCGAGGAAGTTCTTTTCTTATGCGAATAAGTTCTACTAAATAAAATTCGTGATAACGATCAAAATTACTCTCACTAATTAAACATAATTTTAAAAAATTGTAAAAATCATATCTTGCAATGCTGTAAGCTTGTTATAATCACAATACTTTCTTTCAATTTTAGTGATTGAATATTACTCTGAAAGAAAATCTCTCCCTATGCATTAATAACTAATGTCCCAGAAAAAAAAATATTGATTGACGCTGTATCCAAAGACCGCATATTATTACTGATTTTATATGGTGTAATCCCCAGGGTGCAAAAGTGGCCCCCCATCCCTCACAACTTACTCATATGGTATAAATAAAAAAAAAAAGGAAAGTGGCCATTTAACAATCGAGAAAAATGCACAGTTGAATCTGTTTTTAAAAAATAAAAGGGATGGCAATTTTTATTGTTCTAAACACTGGGTTTATAGTTGTTTGCGAAATCATATTTTTGATTTAATTTCCATTCATCAAGATCCATGTGTCATCTTCTCGCGAGTTTGTCACACAAAGACCACTTTCCGCTTTATGGCTGGCAGAGTAAAGCAGCAGCTGGGAGATGTGAGGCCTCTGCGTACGGGAAACGTTGCCAACCATCTAGGGAATTTGCGGAATGGATGGGGGTGGGATAGATACTATTCGTGTGAATGATCTACGGTGAATGTGACATCGAAAGTTGCATCAACCTGTCCGTTTTTAAAATGCTTTAAAATGTTTGTCATTTTTTTCTCCAATATTACGAATTTTCCTCATCACGTAAAACATACGAAAAAGTATAATATTGCTTTTAATGATTTATAAATCTATTTATTAACGTAGTACTACGTATTCAATAATTTTCATTTAATAAAAACATATTATTATTAATTTTCATAATCTGAAAAGCTTTAATTGTAAAAATGATTACTCTAATAACTTATAGAAGAGAATAAAATCAATTAACACTTACGACTTTGACCGAAACTAATAAGTTTTTCAGCAGTGACATGATAATCATCTACTTCCTCCTCAAACTGAGGTCCAGGCATGAAAGGTTCTCCGGGAGCATCTTTTTGCATATCGTACTGATCGAGTAATTGGTGAAGAGGTGGAATTTTCGGCACTGCCTTTCCGGAGATGTTGGGAGGATGACGAAGACCGAGTTTACTAAGGATCTCAGATTTAATTGCGTCTATCCTTAGTGCTTTCATGTCATCGTGCATTAAACAACGTGAACAATTGCGTGTCATTTGTACTTCCTGGTCTTCTGTTCTGTTGTCGTGTTCTTCCGATTTGAAAGTATTAACCACGTCGTCTAATTTCCAAGAACCATTGTTATGTCTGTCCCATTCGTCAACAAAGTCTTTGATGGCATCTTCTAATCGTTCCCCATATAATGCTCCATCAACAGTAATTCGTCCGCTGGTGTGCATGCACGCTAACATTGAAACCAAAGTAATTAAGCAAACATAAGTTGTCCAAGTAGGGGCCATGCTGGCTGCGGTTATGCAGCTGACGGATGGCGGGGTACTGCTGGGTGAAAGCGACAAGTGTAGCACTGCTACTCTTCCCCGTTTTTATAACGGTGTTCGCTGCATTTTTGGAAAAGGCACGCCTTTCGTCGATTGGCATAGAACACTCGACCTACCAGGGACTTGGATGTCGTCCCAGCTGGCCAGCAGACCAATGAGTGAGTTGCTGGGTGCAGGAAACCCTAGCAAACGGTTCGCTGGTCGGCAATGCATCGAGTTGGGTCCTAATATGACACGAGCATTTTAAGTGTACAGTTATTTTATCAGTTTGATTATATGTGTAATAAGGATTGATCGTTCCCGCCTTACAATCTCTTCAAAAATCACCCTTTAATAAACGAATGATGAAAACAATTCTAAATTCTCCCTTTTAAAAGATAAATTAGTTAATCGTGTCTCGAAGCGAAGGCCGTTTCTATTGGGTTAATTTTTCTATTCAATATAAACTTTGACCAATTATTCTTACGTTTAAAAGTGAATCAAATATGGTTAATAAAGGGTTAAGGAAAGACGTCAAAGGTGCTGTAATATATTAAGACTTTAATATCAAGTTCACAAAGTTTAATAATAAGGAAGTGTATTTCACTCAAAAACCGATTTAAAATTCTAACATTTCTTTAGTTGAATACGCAGGGCAAAATTCATTAACTCAATTTCATGTAAATCGGTTAAAACGCAAATATCTATGCTAATTTATTATATTTATAAATAATGAGATTACTTTTTACCGTACTCATAGTAAATCTCTCAAGATCGGTGCACAAATAACTTCAGTAGAAGATAATAGCTATTATAGGTCTTATGTAAGTGGAACAATCTGTCACTACAGTCATCGCGCACCGATTTGAATTCATTAAGAAAGCTTATATTTAAAAAAAACTGCATTAAAAGTTAGTTGCACAAAATTTAAAAAACATCACCCGAAAAATGTTCTATTCTGTATTTCACATAAAACAATGAGAATGAGATTACGAAATAAACTGTAATCACCAATTACTGAGCATAGGTATGATTATCATATGATTGTCGTGTATTGTATTTTGACAGAATTTAATAATCTCGGAGGCTTCGATACAGATTGAAAAGAGAGACTATGAGTGTTTATAGATAGAGAAAGATCCAAGAGTGACGGCATACCTTACTACTGAGCAGATACTCGATGAATTAATAATGTTATGAGAAGTTCATAGCAACATTTGTTATTCATCCTATACTTTGTAGCCCTGACCCAAAACACTGTTGCTAGGCGGTGCTGACTGTTACATTCCGGTCGCCTCACCCTTACTTGACCTACCATCCGGATGGAGTCCAATGACGAAGAAACGATATTTTGGAAATATATTTTGATTCGGATAGGAACTCTGATAATGGAAAAATAAAGCCCCAGAAAGAGTAAGTAAACTATACTTTTGTCATATCTAACCGTAGTAACGACGCAGGCTAAGTTGCGGAAGTGACTTGGAAGTTGATAGAGGTATTTATTGATAAAAATTTTTCTGAAACGCGCCTCCTTTTTTCTCAAAAGTACAAACATTATCCTAAAGGATGGAGTGCATATTTTCATCAAAATGTATTTGACATGGAATTCCACCTGCGTAACACATACTTCCCGTTTAGAGGAACTTATAACGCCTACCTGAATACTTCTCTTGAGATGCATCCAAATTCGCTGCCTAATTTTGGTTATGGTGATTCAAAGACGATCTATACATAGTATCTACTTTGGTCTAAGCGTTCTATCAACAACATAAACAATGTCAACGTGACTTTAATATATGAAGACGCACATTTTAGAGAGTACTGACCGGCGTCCTGCTCCAGCGTTTATTGACATTGCTCCATCGCTTTGTGCAGTCGTAACACATCCAGTACTTGTTGCTATCGAAATCTTAATAAAATTAATTAATAGAGTATTTAAAGAGCGTTTTTCTTTCTTCAACAACGACTACTTTTAAAACTACGCAAATATAATACACTTATCTAAATATATTCAATTCGTAATTATTATTATTTCGTTGGAGATTGTAATACTTTAAGAAGTTCCCAATAAAACTTCACCTTTGTTACTACACAAATAATTTGATATATAAATCATAATTCAACCAATTCTTGTTAGATTTACTAATAAAGCTGGCCTATAGTTTAAATTTGCTGCATTCTTTAGTTTTACGTCATCTAATATCGCAATATAATCGAACCGATTCTTTCTAGAAAGTTTTCTTAAAGTTATCATCAACTATATGAAGGACTTTGCCAGGTCAAATGAATATTAATGCTTCGTTATCAAAAATTTCCGTTTATTTATGAAAAATATAATCATAAGCTAATAAAACAAAATGAACCTTCGACACTAAATTCGAACCAACGTTTTAAATTAAGCTTACAACCAATTGTTCTTTTATACTTATAAGAAACTGCCATTAGAACAGGAAAATGATTGTATTTATTATCGCGTAAATATAAAAAATAAATAGACTTCATAAGGTATATTTGATTAGCCCGTTGCGTCATTCTATTCATTGTTTAAAAATAGCAAGATTAATATATATTACAGAAACAATGAATCTGCAACGTAGACTACTATTTAGTATTTAATTTCATTTTCTGAACAATGAAAACAACAATTGAAAGATAAGAAAGTACAGAAAAAGTTTCTTTCGAGATCCAATCATTATTTAATCATCTGAATAACTTAGCTTTAATCAAATCAAAAATTAACTACTTTTAATAACTTACAGTACGTTTTCAATATAACTCAATATGATGTAAAATACTTAAATAAAATGAAGAATTTGAACAATAATTCATTATTATTGTTCAAATTCTTCATTATATTTAAGTATTTTACATCATAAATGTTGATTTCAAAGTAATTAAATTAATAAAAGTAATTCTAGTCTTCATGATTAACAATATTCAATAACAGTTTTTATTACAATATATATATATAATTGAAATAATACCATTTAACTATCTTATAAAACTATATAAATAAAAACAAAACTTTCTTTTCCGAGTTTAGATATTTTCAATGATTCAGCGAGAAATGAAATAAAGCAAAATAATTAAGAAAAATTTTTAGATTTCTCTTCTGGAATTGCTTTCTTGGATTATAGGTATCTATTTTTAGTAGCTCATTACCAAATTTAGTCACTAGTTAAACAAAATTTAATATTATGGCTATTAAAATTTTTGAAAGTATTGCTAAGGTTTTAAAAATATCTACTTCAAATTTATATTCTCTAAATTAGAAGTGAATATCTTATAATTGTTATCCTTATTGAAAGTTTAGCAGTATAAATTTGCGTCTCATTATTATTTCTATTCATTTTAGCTATGAAAAAACTTCTGTAATTAAAAACAATTTTATAACAATTATACAATTGACATTACGACCTTCCAAAATAAATAGACTCGGATACAAAGAATAAGCGAAAAGATATATAACACAAGCATAACTTACATTAATATATATATATTAATGTAAGTTATATTACTGATTCAATAGCAACACAAAAATTAATAATGATATTAACAAGATAATCAATACCTGTAGCATTCTTACTAACTTATGAAATTATAATATGAATTTCGGAAATACATTCATTTTTCATTTTATTCTCAATTTTTTTACTAGTGATGTTTAATATTATTAAATTAATTGGTTGTAGTTTTATTATATTTATAAATTTTTATTATTTTCTTTGTTAATTTTATAACTTCATAGTTAAACCTACAAAAAAATGATATTATCGAAACAAATTCTACAAAAAAGTAACATTTAAACGAAATAAAAAAAATTACAATAGTGAAATTAAAATAATCATTATATATGAAGATTAAAAATGATGTATTTTACAATTAAAGATTGAAAAATAAAGTAAAAAATAAACTTTATAAAAAAAATTAGATTTAAAAAATTTAATGAATAAACCTGGCGAAAAATATAACTAAATAAAATCAATTTTATTTTAGATATTAAAAAATAAATTAGAAAAATAGAATGAGTACTTTTATAAAATATATTTGTACATAACTTTAGGGTGATCAATTTATTATAACATAAATGTTGATATAATTTTGTCTTTTAGCGAAACTTTTTATTTAAAACATAATGTAATATAATTATTTAATTCTTTAGTTTTATTTTTATTAACCGAACACTAACAATTTCTAAACCTTTCAACTACTACATATTTTCCTTTTGAATTTTGTCATTTTATAGGCCTAAATTTATTAAAAAGATACAACATATAAAACCGTAAGTGTACAAAAAAATTTTAAATGCCAATTTTAATTTTTTTAATTAATAATTATTAATAATTTTTAAAGAAAACGACGTAGGAGTCATAAAAATATTCAAGTGATAAGTGATAAAAAATTATTTTACACACAAACTTGTTATTTAAAAATAATAAAGCTTAGTATAGCTAATTAAAAGACAAATCATTTTGTAAATTGCACCTTTTAGTAATCTTTTAACTTCGATTTTTATTTAAAAAAAACTAATAATATAGGGCCTATACTATTAGTTTGATGAAATAGCTATTAATATTAATATTAATTTTACTACTATTTTCTTATGTACTAATATACCAGATTATAAATTGGCCGTAAAAAAGCATTAATGAAATTAAAGTTTTTAAAATATTAAATGAAACATAATCCAATTTAGAGTAAATCTCATTTGAATTATTAGAAAAATTTCTCTAATTTAAGAAAAAATTCTATTAAACAATTATTAATTTTAATTCAAAAGTTAAGCACAAAAAATATAGGCCTAGATACAAGAATATTGTGTCATGTTATTTCTTTATCAATAAAAGTTAATTGTTACTTGCAGGTCATATTCAAACAATATTGATTTACATGGAATCTTTAATTCATTTATTCATTTCTTTACTTCATTAATAATAAAATATTAATCTTCTTTTAAAATCATAATTTAGCCATCAAAAGGTAATATTCAGCTGTACATATAATTTATAATTTTGACATATTTATATTTTTTAAAATAATAAAAGTTTTAACAGTATATATATGATATCGAAAACGAGTCATGACTTTATATTCTATAATAATTAGGCCTAAACGCAAAATTAGAAAACACTTAGTTTAATATTTATATTAATACTTTCGAAAATTTATAAAGTGTATGAAAGTATTAATACAGTAAAAGTAAAATTTATTGCTTTAACGCATGTAGATTTTACTTTAATAATGTTAATTCCATATGTTCAAGTAGTTTATCTTTAATCTAAATAAATTTTTTACTACAGAATATGAGAAAAAGGTATTAAAAAATCTTTGACCTATATAATTAAACTATATCATATAAATAATGAAAAACGAATTAAATAATATTAAACCTATATATCTAAATATTGATCAGTTAAATATCTAAATTCGTTACAATTTTCCTAAATTTTTAAATAACTTTTATAATATAATAATAGTTGTATAGCTTAAATATATTTTCAATTAACCTTTGAGTAAGGACATTATATTATCTTCATAATGAAATTAAAGATAGTGTCGAGACATTCTAGAATAGTGTTTTTCATTGAGTTTATCCTAATGTTTCGTGGAAAATATTAGAAAAAATATATATATAATATCTATACATATACTGTACTTTAATGCAAAATATAAAAAAAAACGTATAAAAAATTAATAATAAATTATAAATTCAACATAAGGAATTTAAAAATTAGGTTGACATTATGATATGAAAGTATTTTATCGTAATTTACGTAGAAACAATTGGTTATTAGTTCATCTCTGTTGTCTGTTTCGATAGATTACTTTAGAGAATAATTAATTTTTTAAAAAATGGAAATACTTAGTAGAATAGCGTTGATGAGTTTGCAACATTCCGTAAATTGGACAGTTACATATTGTATTTCAGTGTCAGAAATTTCTCTCCAACGGTGAGTCTGTTTTGGGACATTTACAGTGTTTATTTCAATGACTAATTTTT